ACACGCAGCTTGCCACTTTTTTGCCGAAGTCCGCTTTTTGTGAGGTCAGTAATTAACCAGAAACAGTCTGTCAGACGTAATCTTTCAAACTATCATCCGGCAGGCAGGCGGACAAACAGCCGATCTGTGGCAATAAACAACTTATCTTTCAGGATTCGTTCAGGCTTAGTAAGAGGGGAAAGCGAGAAATCTGCAACGCTGGGGCCATGTGGGCAGCCACGATTCCCAGCCAAATGCGAAGCCTACCTGAGCTGGTTGGACCTGTATTGCATGATTTTTAACAGAGTCCAGTTAATTCTACTGTGACCAATCGCGGATAAGTGAATATTTGAACAACATGCAGGTTAATGATATGGCAGAAATATGCGTGGCAAGGTAGCAGTCGAATATATTTCGCCGACGGAGCTATCTGGATTGCAGGATTTCTGTCCTTGGCACCACCGTCCTCATGTCTTGAGCTCACGCAGGCCGCCGTATAGTGACCAGTAGTTACAACACCATAACGCTTCTCGATTACTGAATGATAGTCACTGCGCGACCTTCCACACTGGCTCAATATCCGGATTCCCAAGGCAAGAGAGATACACTCACATTTGGTCTTGCGGCCAGTCTAGATCAAACCGCTCCTGTCTCACGTGATTGTGCGCACATGTGATCGAAGAGGATGGGTTCCAATCATTTCAATAGACGATGACAAGCTGAAATTGATGCCGGAAACCATTGGCCATTTGAAACCCGCTTATCTTCAGATCTGAGGAAAATAGGCCGTCTGGATTGCAATACTGTTCAGTAAGACAGTTCGCTCCCTTTTCATAGTCACTTATCCTGCCTAACTGAATGCTACACCATTCAATATCCATCTATTCTTCATTTCGAAGCTGGGTCTTAAAAATATTTAATAACCGTTTCTGGCTTAAGGCCCCCCATGGGGGCGCGAGGTTAGGCACTGCACACGAAAATTCGATCGTCTTTTCCGACGATGTACGCCAAATGTGTCACAGAAGGGTGAGTGTAGGGACGGTGACATGCGCTTGAGTCAGTTAATAGTGATATTTGACTCTGCCACACTCTCTTCTTTTCTCCCCTGTATCCGTTGTCATGACAGAGTCAAGAAGACCGAAGGTGGGAACGACCTCGGGTGTCTGGCGCGGCGTGGGTATGCACCGAGATGTACTACCGCATCCCAGTATTTGTCATATTTTATGGTAGCCCATTCCTAATAACGCCTCGTGTTCCTCGATTCCCCCCTGTGCTGATCCACCTCATCTACTCTGCAGCCCGTTGTGGGCACAAACGCACCTGCAGTGCATTGTCCCATCTGATCAGAGTCAGTAGCTCTGAAACAGCCGGGCTATCATTCAACTTTTCGTCTTAGTACATGTATCCGAGTTGTTCTATGAACATCTGGGAACAGATCGCCACCGCTTGAAGTCGGACAGGGTCAGGCGTAGTACGTCTAGAGACAAACCTCCAAGCACCACGCGGATTACTGGCTTTGCGGTTACCAACGACTTGCTTATTCAGAACACATACTAAAATTTGTCTAGTAGCATACTGGTCAAGGTTGGCATTATAGCCCTTTGTTAAGACTCCACAGAGAGGCATTTAATGCTCACGAAGTAACCCATAATCCGAGTAGGCATTCCATCTTAGGTCGGGAAAGACTGGTAAATGGAGGGCCTTCTGTCCCCTGTAACAAAAGTGGTTTAAGCCTATTTACTGGGTGGACTGCGACCATTTAAAAAGTAGTACGTCCTACTTAAAACATGTTCAAGGTTGCGACTTCTGTTACCCGAGAACGCCTCTTACATATATATATATATATATATATATATATATATATATCATTGTTTCATATTCCCAGAGTTAATTCATCGTGTATTCTCCATTGTTGCTCGAAATATTTCTATGTTAAGGGAGTTTTCAACTCGCTCACCTAATTAAGTATGCGGGTTTGGAGCAAAGAAATGATTGGCCAATTTTGAAGATTCGCGTCGTTATTAAGGAATGAGTTGTATATATAAATTAATCTCCAATGCAAATATGCTTGACAGGACAATCTATAAGCAGACGTCATGCCCTTAATGAAAGGTCCATTAACATCTTCCGAATTCCAGTCATTATAGAAGAAAAAATCAATCACCTAAAGTCAGACCGGGTTTTGCAACAGACTTTGCAATCTGGCGAGTGGCAAAGTAACAGTTAGGGCGTGCGTCGTAGAACTACGCAGACCCTCTTGAGTTCATGACCAGGTTACCCGCGTCGGGGTGTGGTTCCTTGTGCCGACGTCAGGCACACCCACATTCCGCAAGTGAAAACGACGCTTGACTCAAAATCCAACAATGGCGTACGCTACTACGCCCTCTCCTTACCTCCTCTGCTTACTCATGCGGAGAAATGGGACCTATATACGAAAGATTGATGTTCACCAGTCTTGGTAGCGGGAAACAATTAATGCCCGCGACGACATAACTATCACAATGCCCGACAACAGCCAGGAAGCTTTGTAAGCTGTCGGGTGAGGCTGAGGAAAGCCGGTCTAATGAAGGCGAACAGACGAGCCCCAGGAAGCAGTGCTGAAGAAGGAGGCACCATCGCTGGGGTAAGAGATTTATTAGCCTGACGTCTCGGATTCCTGCTCGAACCCATCATCAGAGACGAAAGCAGATACGGGTCTGCTCAGGTCTTCTTCTTAAAGAAGGTCGGTCTATGTGAGGCCAAATACTGTTGACAGAGGCGGGCACAGTATGAACTTGTGTTCAGACCGTCGGAGTTTTATGCTCACTCTGTAGCATTGTTCAGGTTCAAACCGAAGGAATCTGCAGCGAAGAGCTGAGATTCGGATGACAAATAGACAGAGAGAACGTAGCGGATAGTCATTAGCCGGTTAATAAGCACTAAAGCGCCACACGACATGAAAGTAAATGATTTAAAATAAAACAAATAATGCGTTTGATAGAATGGTAAAAAAATTCAGCGGCCGCAATGTTTCGAAGCCACGACTGCAAGTACAAGGCGTGAGTGCAGCCAACGAGTTAGCCACCTGAGCTACGAGACCCCGAGTAGGAAACGTGACTTTCATCAACTGTCACCCAAATGTGCTTATACTCAACTAATAAGAGAACTGGTTGTAATTAGTCCCCACCTTTGCTGTCGTAGGCTTGGATTCTACCGATGTCGCCATGTGATCTGCAAGTGCGCCAACAGAGTTATTCAAATCTGCCAGAAAAGATAGCGGATGAAATATCTCATGAAATATCAGCTGATATTCTGAAATGCGATGTTATTCCGAAAAGATGACTTACAGTGAGTGACCGATCTCATGAAATGTCGACCAAAATTCGGAAATTCCCTTTCGATTAGGAAGAATTACTTAGGTACCGTTACAATACTGATTATTAAGCGACATGATCCTATAATAATTCGCACTCGCTAGGATGTCGGCTTTTGAATGCATTCGTCCTTAACCTCCTGCAGGAACCGCTCTCGGTAATAAATGACAATTTACGTAGCATGCACTTTTTATATTGATTTTTGATGGTCTTATAAATTTAAATATATTTTATAC